AATCTGATTTCTTTTGTATGGACAGATTTACCTCATGGTCAGCCTTTGAGTGTGGAGTAATCTGACATAAAATAACTCTAATTCTTTCCACCTCTCTCACCCCATGCAACTAAATTGGAGAACTTTACACCTTATCCCTAGTATTGCCAAAAGGGCACATGGACCCCACACGGAGAAAAATGTGGGTTAGATGGTTCCTCTGGTCATCAGCTGGCCCAAACCAGTGCTCACAGCAGAGCCTACAGGCACACAAAAGGATGTGAACTGGTCTCAAATGTGTGTTGAAAACAAGCCTCACCTCCACATGACCCGAACATAAGAAATGGCTGTGTCAGAAGCCAGCCTGAATTGCGTGTGTCATACCCATTTCTAATTTGCCTTGTCTTACATATAATTGCGCTTTCAAAACCTAGATATTATTATAACCCGTAGTCAGTGGGCATGAGTCTCCAGAAATCACAGCAGCTGAATTCAAAACTCTGCTTTCAGGGAGAGTCTTGTCATTTATTTTAAAGGGGAACCCTCTGTTTGGCAGAGCATTGGTGTGCTGAGTATGGCTACTCAACGATGTATTGGTGCTGCTCCATGGTCCATGGCTTGCTATGGGGTGAAGGGAGCAGGGGAAGAAGGAGTGAGGATGAGGCAGGGTTTTGGCTTCTCCATAGCTCATACTGACTTGGCAAGTGGGTGAGCCTTTGACTGGCTGCAGCTCATTTGGCTCCCTCTTGGCCCCAGTCATGGTGCTGGGGGTGGCATCTCTGAGGGGATACTTGGATCAGCAGTCTTGTTTTGTGGAGTGGCTCCTTGGGCAAAGGGAGCCAAATGCCCCACAGTCCTTGGGGCAATTCTGCAAGCCCTGTCCAAGCCTTTGTTCCTTGCTAATTTTGCTGCTCCACGTTTGTGAGCTGCAACCCTGTGATTGGCACTTGGCTGGACTGCTGATGCCTTGAAGAAATATCTGTATAAATGCAATTATGTGTGAGTGTCCGTTTGTGTGCCTGTGTGGGTTCAATTGCACCAAACACACTTTATTTCTAGTGTAAAAATCGCAATGGAGAAAAACCTGAGGTTTCTGAAGTCCCATGCAATGCTGTGTGTCCTCGCGGGTAGGAGAAGGAATAGGAAAGACTGTGTCATTGCAAAGCTGCAGCCCAGATCTTGCCATTTCTGTGTCTGATGTTGTGTGTGCTGTTTGACTTGTTGTCATCGTCACCCGGTTTGCGCTGCCTTTTGGCAAAGGGAGGAACAAGAGCAGGCAATGTTTTACAGAGGACAGTATCTGGCTATGGAAAAGCTGTGCAACATGACTCATTTTGTGTAAAGGACAAGAAATTACAACTGCGTGCCACATGAGAGATGGTAGCTGGGCTCGAATCAAAAAACATCCTCATCCAGGAAGGGTATTCAAGCATGTGCTTAATTTAAGAACATACTTAATCTGGGCCTTTGGGCATAAAAGGGTAATGATTATTCTTGTGTTGCCGAGAAACTCCAAGTGACGTCTGGAAGATGTATTACTCGAGAAAAAATTAGTGCTATTTCGGTGTCCTCGTTTAATCTTTCAATTTCTAAAAAAGTAATTCTTTTAATTTGTCATTGCTTGCCAGTGCTCTGAATTCCTTCACAGCTGCTTTACACTTGATTGTTAATGCCAAGTGGAATCAGCAAATATGATCTGGTTCAGATAATAATTATGGAAGATCAATCCTGCATCTGCCTCTTTTTTCTGTCCCCATTGAACTTCCCAGCATGTAAGATATGCATGTTTGACTTCGCAGGGAGAGAGAGCCGCAGTAAAAGAACCTTATTCCCCCTTGTATACATTGTTTAATCATTTCAAAGCAACAACATCCATGCTCCAATTTTTTCAATGTGTTTGGCCCCTATTTTTTCCTCTATGTATTCCTGCAGAGATTAGACATAGTGTATATGATTTTAAGTATGCAATCTGTTGGGGATTGTTGAATTTTATGACAAGTGACTGTCTTTATTAGCAACTGGTCAGCATCCGTCAAAGTCCCAAAGTAAAAAGCAAAAGCAGCTCAGTAAAAAGTAAAAGCTCACCGGTAAAAGCAGGTGAGCTGTCATCCGATCAGTATGTTATAATAACCATGTGAACACCAGGAGCAGCAAAGCGGAAGGCTGAAAGCTGCTCCCACCAGACAAGGTCCTGCTGCCCTTCACCGTGGAGATGGTGTCTTCCTGTCTAGGCACACTGTACCCAGCCTAGGGGAGGCTGCTTGTCTCAGCATGACCTGGGCAAATGGCATCTAATGTCTTTGGCTTCCATGGGAAAACCAAGAGCTCCAAGCGGTACAGCTACTCCAGACCCAGCAGCTGTGAGAAGGAAAACTGATCCACACTGACCATGTTTCATAGTTTCATACCCATAGCTTTCAGGCTGTGGACACCAGCCACACAAGTAGGATTTTCAAAGGGGCTGCAGGAGGCTGGGACCCAGGTGCATTTCCCTGTAGGACATATTCATCCTGCTGCTCATGGAGTGTGGCCTCCTTTTTGAGATAGTTGCTGTGCAGAAAGATCTTTAGGTGCCTGTTTTAAGAGAGATTCTTGGACCAGGAGATAAATAAGGGCTGTTACTGACTCTAAGGTAAGTGCTAGTTCATTTTATTGACTTTGGGTTAATTCCTGTTCATCCTCCTCAGGCAATTATTCCCCCTGAAACCAACATTCATGACCTGTTGTCATAAATAAAGCAGCTGGATTTTGGCCCCTTTTAGAAGACAACAAACATAAATCTATCTGCCAACACAAATCCAGGTGCTAAAACCAGGGATTTTCCTGGGGGAAAAAAACACGGTAAAGATTTATGGGGTAGAACTGGGGAAATGGGCAGGCAGAAAGGAAAAGAAACTCTAACTTCATTTAATTCTCATATTTATTATGAAGGGAGATGTTCAACATGTGTTCTCAGCTTTGCCTCTGCTTCCCTGTCTGACCTTGGTGAGGATCCTTGAACACCCCCTCCTTCTCAAAGCTCTGGTTAAACATAATTGTATGTGGCTTTGAGATCAAGAGGCAAGGTATACCAGTGAGTGCAAGCTATCGTAAGACCATTTTAAAAAGTGGATGATAGTGACAAAATATCTTGGAGAGAAGCTATGAAAGCATGGTACAGTAAGCAACATGGACAGGGAATAAGGGTTTTTTTCTTTCTTTTCTTTTTAACCTCTAGTTTCTTTGTCTTTTCCTTTTTTTAAGCAACATATCTTGATCTTGCCTTATGGATCTAACACGAGAGTTGTGTATGCAGAAAGCCTCTGAAATCACTTTGTTTCTAGTTTTCTTTCATACACTCAGCAATATAAATAACCAAAGAGGATATTGCTTAACCCATAAACCAAAGTGACATCATAATTTATTAATACAGAAGACACAGTTCATTGCTGTTAAATGCCATAAAGAGCTGGAAATAGAGTAGTTTCTCAGAAGGCATTGCCAATATGTCAAAGGAAAGATTTCTTTGATGCTGTCTCAGCATGCGTAAGATCCTCTCCAAATACTTCAACATTTTGGTTATTCCCCCCTGAACCACTCTGCAGCATTCAAAGGCAGCTTTGCTGGTGACTTCCCCAATATCTGACACCTTCTTCCCGCCTTCCCTACTCCTCCCAGTGCTTTGCTCCTGTCACTTGCTCAAATTGACTCCTCTATGGGAAGGGTAATAAAAACCCACATAGACAGATTATGGGGACAGAGCTGACTGGCCCATTTATACTGTTCCAGCTGATGGTGAGGCAGTACAAGCCCATGTGTCCTCACAGTGTTCTGTGACAGTGGTGGGAACAGAGCTGCACGCACAGAGGAAGGGTTTCAGTGCTCCGCTGGTCCTGATGCAGCTCCTGGCTCGTAGGAGGGCAATACATCAGGCTGTACGCAACCGGGCCACGCGCCAGCAAAGCATTTAAGCACCTGCTTACCCCTAAGCTTTTGAGTAATTCCTCTGGTGTGAGCTAAGCACAGGCGTCGCAGCAGCCTCCCGCTTCCTATGGACTTCCCTTGCAAGGACACGTGCATGGCCACTGGTGTCACCTCCACAGGACTGCTCACCACCTACCTCCTCTTGCTCCCTCCTATTTAATGTCTAACTCTTCAGACCTCAGTTCCCTGCCCTGGGACCCCCACCAGCATCCAAGATGCTGTTCTGGGGCTCCCAGCTCTGGGTTCACCTCCAGAGCACTTTTAGTGTGGTGTGCTATCCCCAAGCACAAGCATGAGCCAGCATGTGGACAAATTGCAACGATAACGTGTCCACAGAAAGACATCCCTCTCTCTTTTAGGTAAGATAAACAATCTTCCCAGTATGGACAACTCGCAGCCCTGGAAACTTGCTCAGCAGATGTTCAGCTCTGTGCTCTGCGTGTATTTGTACAGAAGCACCAGTCCTCGTTGCTGGTCCCTGTCTGCCTCATCATAAAACATGCCTAGCTGCGCTTTTGCAACTTTCAGGAAGAGACAGGATTCCTTTTGGCTCCCCAGGCTATTAATTTGAATTTTTATTTGTGTTAATTTCATACTTTCCATACACGTAGTCAGCTCCCTCCCTCTGAAATGCACCTATTTAATCTGATTCAGCCGGTGTATGAAACGTGCCTGTTGTGTGCCTGGTGCTGCTTGGGTTCACTAAGTTACACTCTGCATGCCAGTAATCCCCAGGGGAGCCACGGCATGATGAGCTCCTACCTGCTTGCTCAGTGCGCACACAGGCACAGGCACTTGATCACTCCCGCCTCCCTGGTGAGACAGGTTTCCCTCCTGTTTATCAGCTGGCAATGCAGACTGCCTGCACACTCTTTGCCTGTCCAGCTGCTCCACAATCACGCACACTCGTGTGCGCTCACACCTATGTGTGTAAGCTGTGGTGGCACGCATTCTCAGCTGTGTGTACACAGCCAGTCCTTGTGTGTACACAGCAGAGCCGGTGCCTGCACGTTGGCAGTTCACTACCCCCCTTGAATCCCCCTCTTCTCTGGGCTATATGTGGCATTTTGAAGCTCTGACAATCTGCTCCAAATGTTTTCCATATTTGTTCAGCCTCCTTGATTCAAATACCAGGAACAACTCAGCCAGCACAAAGCAAAGCTTTGGGGGGCAAAAAACCTCACACCCCCATCAGTGTGCGCACACACACACGCACGTGAAAACCTAAAGTTCATCGGCATGGGAAAGAAGGAGAAGAAACCCCAGCACAGCACGTCCCTGAAGGCACCTGAAGGGGAGAGAGGCACTGACTCGAGCAAGACGCAGGAGTCTGAGATGAAGAAGAAGAAGCGGAAGAAAACCAAGGGGGATCCCAAAGCTGGCCAGGAGGAGGAATCCCATACTTGTTGTGGCTGCCGTTTCCCACTGCTGTTTGCTTTGTTGCAGCTGGCATTAGGCGTCTCTGTAACAGTGCTGGGCTTCCTTATGGCAGGCATCAGTTCTTCTCTGCTAGTCAGAGACACTCCATATTGGGCTGGGATAATTGTAAGCATAAAGTCTGTTTCTCCATAAAGTGCCTTTGCCAGCATTAATGCAAGTTGCATGACGCTCCACTTTAGACTAACCAACTGCATGCACAACACCATGTGAGTTATGCTAACTAAATATTCCTGGGATTAAATGTCTGGGTATACTTTTCCAAGGAAACTGCTCCTGCAGAATAACACAATCTTTCTTATTCTTCCCTGCAATACCCAACAGACCTTAAGTAAAATGCAGGGTTGCTGTTCACTAGATGTATTTATTAACTTCTGCTTTGCAGTGAACTCCTGTCTGGTGATGCTGAAAAAAAAAATGCTGATTACTTACACTGCCTTCCCCGTTTCCCCACCAAATTGTAACAATCAGGTTTTAGAAGTGAGAGCGTAACTCTAGAATTTGCAACTTTTAGCTGGGTGTGTTGGTAATAATGAGAGGAGAGACATGGCTGTCTTTCCAGCTTCCTCGCTGTGCTGTGTCATAGAACCGCTGTGATTTAACCCTCTTCCTCCCTGCTGCTCCCACAGCTGAGGGACAGACCGCATGTGGCCATGGGGAAGGGGCTGGCTCAGTGGTGGGTAGCGTGGCAGGGAAAGAAAGTGCATCCCAGGGCCCAGCGGCCAAGTCACATGCAGTTCTGAGTGACACGCCAGCCTCGCTGCATGGGCTGGTGGTGACAGGGTAAAGGGCAGGGTCCTGCTGGGTGTAAATAGGAGGCATCCCCAGTGGGGAAGCCTTGGCTGGTCCCAGCACCTGTTGAGGTGGGGAGGAGGTGAGGGGTCTCGGTGCTGTGCACAGTGTAGACCCGCGTGGTCAAGTGCTCAGGGATGTGTGGTTTGGTTGTGGAGGGACAGGGTCAGTGATTCACTAGGGACTGTAGTGACAGAACAGGTGGTAACGGGTTCACACTTAAACAGGTGAAGTTCAGGTTAGATATAAGGAAGAAGTTCTTTACTGTGAGGGTGTTAAGGCACTGGAATGGGTTGCCCAGGGAAGTTGTGAATGCTCCATCCCCGGCGGTGTTCAAGGCCAGGTTGGACAGAGCCTTGGGTGACATGGTTTAGTGTGAGGTGTCCCTGCCCATGGCAGGGGGGTTGGAACTAGATGATCTTAAGGTCCTTTCCAACCCAAACCATTCTATGATTCCATGATTCTATGATTCTATGATTCTGTGATTCTGTGATTCTGTGATTCTATGATTATGAGCCTGGGATGTGCCTCGGATGTAATTTAGTGTGCATTTTTTTCCCCCCTAGGCAGCAGGCTTCAGGAAAAATGCATACTGATGTGTTAGCACTGTTTTGTATGTTGTTAGACTGTAAGAACTCCCAGCAAATAAATTCATGTTTAGGTACTTACAGATTTCTTGATGCGCTAAACAGCTATGGGAGCCTCTTCTGAGAATGTAATTCTTTGCTAGTCAGAGGATTATCTGAACACCTGAACTGTTTAGGGTTTGCTGTATTAATCCTGTTGGATGACTTCCCAAAGAGTGGAAGGAGCAGGGCCTGAGCTGCTGAAGGAAGAGGTCTCTTACTCATCTGGTCCTTCTTGTTTCTCTTCCAGCTGAAGAGGTATGTGATGTTTTGCGGGTGAGAGCCTGCCCTTGCTCAGGAGCAGAACTTCCTCCTGGGGTTTTCACTGTTACAAACCAGGGGATAGTACAGATGATAAAATAGCAGCATGTGACATTTTCACTGCTTTTGTTTATTTTGGGAATTCTGGAGGTCAGATGTTGCGTTTTCCAGACCACACGAGTAGTATCCCAGTTTTGAAATGGCTCTTTCACTAGAAAAAGCTAGGGAAAGAGTGAGCTGGACAAACTAGAATGAAGTTAGGCATATGAGAAAAGCCAACAAAGCAGCCCCTGGCCCATGTGAATGTCATCAGTGTCCAAACAGCATCCATCCGAGATATTCACATATGCCTGATCTCCCTCTGGGAGGCCTGAAACCCCTCAAAAGTTACTACTTTTTGAAAACAGAGCTGTAACCCCTCACTTTTATCAACAGCCACAAGTAGTAGTGACATTTAGATGACCACATCAGGCAAAGCTCGATCATGGCTGATGCGCTATGGGAGTAGTGTAAAGCACGTATCTGAGGGGCAAAATGCAGGAGGTATGAAATAATGCTGCATTTACTTTGTTCCTGTGCTGTGATGTTGCTTTGGAGGTATTTGGTGCTTACTGGGACATTGGATGGCGATGTCCAGGAACGGCTGAGCTGGAGTTTCTGGGTGTGCAGGTCACAGGGTGCTGCTACTGAGCTGTGGAGTGGCCTCTGGAGAGCTGAGAGGGTAAACAGGTCCGTGAAGGAGGACCCTTGGCTATGACACCCTACATGTGGCTGGATGTCCTGTGGGCTGGCTCTTGGGCTGCTGTGAAAGGCTGCATGCAGGGCATATAGGTAGGGGTTGGATGACCCACGTGCTGCTTGAGAACAAACTTCATGGCAGAAAGTGACTTCCCAAAACTCATTTGTTTGCAAAGAAATGAGCAGCAGAACAGAAAGATGTGGTGTAAAATACCAGAGCATATTTGTTTTAGTAGCATCCCACTCAAGTGCTCTTTTTAAAGGACTTGATTAGTATTCAGAATCAAGAACTTAAAAAATCTATTATGGAGACCTTTTTAGCAACATTAGAGATAATGGGTGAAGCTCATTCCTAGTGTTACTCCTTTGGAATTACACCAGGGCTGGATTTGACCCCACGGCTGTTAATGCAGCATGACAGAAAAATGATGGAAAAGTGTAAATGTGTTAAATAGACCCTGATTGACTGAAAGGTTGGTTTATTTTCTTTTTTTTTTTGCTTAATTAGTGGCAAAATGGTGATAGTGTTCCTTGCTGAAAATCAAGTGCTTTAGTACATTGCCATGAATGAAAAGGAACTTCTTTACAGAAGTAGCAACAGTAAAAAAGCTACCAAGGAACACCACGCAAGGCAATCTGAACTAAACTGGTTCAAAACCTGACTGCCTAGGTTTGTGAGAATAGCACAGGCCAGGAACTGGGTTTACCATCCTGTGGAATAAATGTGGCCAGTGATTCACTGACAGGGAGAGAAGGTCCTCAATACCCTGAGGGGTGCCTGGCACCACCCCTTCCCTCCTGCAGCTCCTGCAGAAGGAAAAGATACAGCTTGTGTTGCATCAGAATCATTTCACCACGAAAGCTGGCTAAAACCTACTAGTTGGAAATGCATTTCATCTGAAATCTGTGGGACATGAGTCAGAAACCAAAGGAAAGGTTTATGGACAGAAACCACGGAGCCTATGTGATTTATCACTTCTGCTTCAGTCTCAACAACCTATTCCCTGTAAAATTACTCTTCCACATTGCTAGGGACAGGATAATAAAAACAATTAAAACAGGCAGGTGTTTGAAACACTTGTTTCACCTACCTGTAGCCATTTACAGTGAAGATGTCTATGTCTCTCCTCTCTGAGACCTGTCTGGGGCACCCAAAACTGCAGGCTATACCACCCTGGCAGTCTCTTTCTTCTTGCTGTTTTGAAGGAGCTTGGACAAAATCTTCACAAATCCACCCAAGACTGCAGGGCTTTATTTTTGCTTTTTTTTTTTTTCCCCCTTTTTTCTGTGTCTTGCCACTGACTTGCTGCATAGCTTTGGGCAAGTTACTTAACCTTACTAAGACTTTGTTATTTCCCCGGTAAAGTGGGGTTAATAATGGCTATCTGTCAGCCCTTGCTTTGAGATACTCAGATGAAAAGTGTTGCAGAAACAGTAGATATTAATGGTATCCTTTTCATTCTTTTTCATTAGCCTGTGGCCTTTTGACACCCAGAAGAAGAAACGATGTATTTCCCCTTGAAAAATCTGCTCTTAGATTATTTCCTGTGATCAAAAGTTGAGAGCATCAGAGTTTTCACAGGCAAGCTCCCTTCCAGCCCCGTTTTGCAGACTCAGGCAGTTAAGAAAGTTACAGAAATGCTCATCAGAAATGATTACCCAGGGTGTTTATTATTTCTGTCAGAAACTGATTTAAGATCCATCTATATGGTTGGATGTACACGAAACTGGGGGTTTAAAAGACATTAAGCAAAACACAAGCTGTTTCTCAAGCAGCTCATGGCTCCAGATGTCACTTATGTTATTGCAAAAAGTATCTCAAAAGATCTGTCAGGGGCTGAGCCCTCAGCCCAGGAGCTCCGATGCTTCTCCCTGCTCAGCCCTTTCATGGCCACATCTCCTCTGTGTTTCCCAGGCCAGAGGGTGCCTGAGCTTTACTCAAGGGGTAGCCATGGCTTGTTGCTTTCTGGCATCGGTGTGTTCAAGCATCGGCTTCTGTGCCCTGATGAAGTGAGGCTGATGTGGGGCTTTGTGGTGCAAAAGGCAGGTAGACTTTCAGCTGAAAAAGCAATTTAATTATTCTTCATTTACTTGGAGTAGGAAATGTTTATGTCTAAGTTTTTATATATTTTTAAAGAAACTTCAAAAAAAAAAAGAAGCCAAAACTTTAGGAAGCAAATTCTTTGCTTTGAGCATCTCGCAGACAAGTGAGACAAATGAAGATCCTGTGATGGCTGAAAAAAGCAGCTGTGAGGGATGGTTTGCAGGAGATGTGAGGCATTGCATGGCTGCACTGGGGAATGGTGCAAGGCAACCTGGGCTGGCAGAGGAGTCTGGCTGGCTTTCATGCTCCAAAGATCTTTTAGTGCTTGCTACAGCATAGGCAGCAAGCAGCCAGGACTATCCCTTGACACTGTGTATTCCTATCAGATGATGATAATAATAGAGATGTTTGTTTAATTGATGTACTCCTGCGTGAGTCTGACTCAGATGGTAGGTCCAGCCACTGACTCAGCACGTGCTCATGGGCTGGTAAACCTGAGTGCCAAAATCAATAGCGCTGCCTGTAACAGGCAGTGCTAAACTAGCCTCTGCCTCTTCAGGCTGTCAGGGTTTGTGCCATTTTGAGGCTGGAAGGGCAGGAAGCTCCCTGCACACAGCAGCCTCTTTGGCATGTATGGCTCTTGGCAA